AGTCATACAAATTTATATCATTCATTTTGGACCACAAATTTAAAAAGTCTTCATTTCTTTTTTAAACTCCGTGGCGAATCAAACTACCTCACATAAAATGAGACGGAGGAAGTAATATACATTGGGCCCGCGCTGGGGCGGGAACCTAATAACTAGTATATATATATATATATGTATATTGTATTGGATTCCAGCTTGGCTTATATTTATGATGATTGATGACTATGACTTATCAAAAGAATGAAAAACGATTGACGTAATCATGTAATGAAGTATTGGACACCACACAAAAAAAGAAGAAGCAAAAGGAACGATCAATCTTTGCAGCGCACCGGATGAGATTGTTTTTCCTTAATAAAAATTTTTTGAATTCGAGATCTTAAAAAAGTTCTTAATTAAAAGCATTTTTCTTTAAATAGAGCCTATATGAAGCAAATTCAAAAACAATTAGGCTCCAACCAGCTAAGGTTAAAAGTGAGCACAATGATTGTTGAGTTGATTTGTAATTTCTGGGGGGTTTTATATGATAGAATACTTATATAAAGAATAATTTCATGATTGTTTATTTATCCTAACAATAAATACAAGATTTTGTGTGAATTATTTAGATTATTGTTGCTATATTATATTTAGCGGCAATAATAAATATTCTATATAAATATAACTAAAGACTTAAGCGATTTTGGATATAATAATCAATACTCTATATAAATGTAGCTAAAGATTTTAGCGATTCTGGATATAATAACATTAACTCAATTGTTTCTAAAGGAAAAATCTATTGCCACTAATTTTTGTTGTTGTAGGGGTCGTTTGATAGAGTACATTCGAATAATGTAGAATATGGTGTATCAGTTGTATTTAGTAATGGTTGCATTAATAAAATGTTGGTAGTTATACTGACATTATTTAGTAAACAATACTTATTTGATTTGATGTATTAGAAACAACAAACCTTTCATAACTTTTATTTAAAAAATTATTTACAAAAATACCCTCCACACTCTTAAGCTTTGGAAAACGAAAAATGTATTAAGAGGGATTTGAGGAATAGTTCTGTCATTAATCAATCTAATGCATGTGTTGAACCCTTTGTATTATTAATACATGAAAATTCATGATATTAGTAATATACACTTCAATACATAATAGAGTATATAACCAATGAAAATTCATGATATTAGTAATATACACTTCAATACACAATAGAGTATATAACCAATGAAAACTCATGCATACATTATTTTTTCTAACACTACCAAAGTACTAGATTCAAGCTTGGATAATAGTTGTAATACACTTATCAAAGAAGTAAGAAAAACGGAAGATTGGATTATTATCATGCATGAAATGAAGAGGCTACTAAAGGATCATCCCTGATACACATTCCGAGGGAGGCTAATGCAGTAGCAGACTTACTAATAAAATACGGAAGAAGAATGAAAGACCCATAGATGATCAAGAATCAAACTTTGATTTTTGAAGCATCTCCGTCACTAGTAATAGATGCATTAGAAAGAGATGTGACTGGAACTATATCTCATA